CACGACGTTTCAGAGTCAGAGCCCTGAACACGGGGCACTCAGTATAATGAAATGTAACGTTCTTCTGTGACGTTATGTGAGCTGAAGGAGTGAATGAGTAAATAACGAGTCTCCAATTTGCAAACACGCAGGAAGCATATGCGCGGATCTTGAGACCAATGCAGGCTTAAAAATTCAACATACTTCATACTTTTGAAATGAAAATAAAAATAGTTGAGATATTTTTTATTAAAAAAAAATAAAGTAAAGGAACAGTTATAATATGTCCCACTGCTGGGCTATACTGCCTCCTCTATACTGAGTGTATTAGGACATATTATATAGACTTCACATGTCTTCGAAATATTTTTTTGTTATTATTTCGAAAATATGCAGGTTTCCTCGCGATGTTTTCTTTCACCGCTGATCACGTGATAATTTTACTATGGAAAAGATAAAAAATATATAGATGTCATTAGTTATGACAACAAAACACAAGGTCGGACTTTAAAATCTCTAAAAATTAATAATATGTTTACCGTTAATACCTAAAGCGATTTCTCAATTTTTTTTCTTTGATAAATGTCAACAATGCCCGTATTTAGTTTCCAAAATCAAAAGCTTAATTGCGAGCAGATAAAACAAATTGTTTAACCCGAACTTCGGTAATTGCTTTCAAACGTCTGAAACCTTAACGATCTATTAAGGTAAACGGGACAGATTTACGAAAGAAAAAATGATTTAGTCCTTTGTAAAGGTACAACTTTTACGAAGTTATTATTCTAAAAGGCGACTAAATTTTAAAACTCCAGTCAAAATATAACCAATTTGAAAAAAAGTTTATTTATATGTGCGCGTGCTAAAGTTAAATAAGAATAAAACAACACAGGTATCTCACGACTTAGTATAAACTGCAAAAAGTGTATATTCGGACATACCATCATGTATAGAATTTTATTTTTATACCGTTGAAAAGTAAATGAAGTCTTTTCCTGCTGTTAAGTCATCCGGACTATAAAAATCATCCGGATGATATAAAAAGTACAGATCTTTGTCAATAGCACCAAATTGTATATTACTACTTGTATTGAGTGTTTATTAAGTAATAATGAATAAGTACATTTTCCAAACGACTATTTATGGAGACTATGCCAAATGTATAAATTATATTGTGGGTTATTCTAAAATTATTATATTCATTCACAACACAAACTATATATCGACGCGTATGGTATTTCGTTAGTTCATAATAGTAATAGTTGATCAGCCGTAAATAAGCGCGCCCGAATGAGTTTCGACTTTAACACGAATACGATATGATCGAAATAGTGACGTCTAGATCGTGCGAACTTAATTATGTCGTAATCGTGTACGCAAATACGGCCCCACGGATGTCGTAATGAAGTAGAACAAGGCGGGTTTACTGCGTTCAAAGGCATTCCGCTGTCAATATGTTATGAACAAAACGCGCTGGGCCCGGCCGTAATTATGAGCCCGTGTTTGTCGGGCTTTATTGCTTCCTGCAGGTGACGTCAAATCACGGGCCCGATCAAAGTGAGTGCTTTTAATAAAACGTGCCACTGTCGCATCTGTCTACCTAACGCTGAGCCCCTGACGGCTACGGCGCCTTGACAAACTGAAGCCGCGCCATTCGCTATGATTTAAGCGCGAGGGGTCCGATTTACATGGTCGCAGCGCCAATAGTCTGGCTGTGATATTATTATTAATAATGCATTTCCGATCCACTTGTTCAAGCGACTAGGAACTACCTTTGTGTTCGGATATTTAATTTGGCAACGTTAAATTTGCTCCCGTCAAATGCTGAATATGTACGCGGCTCTACAATCAGTTAGTTATTACAGAAATATTTGTGCAAGGCGCAATGTTCTCACGTAACAAACGAGTACCGAATTCACCCTCCCAACTGGAATTCTCGTTTGTAAGCGCTGTGTGAATAGTTCTAGTTTGATTGGCGCGAATTTAATAGGCTCCCTTCAATTTTTGTGCGTCTATGGGAGAGCGAGCGGACAGGTGGAGATGTTGCGAGGGGCTCCCACATTGCTCTATCGAGTTTCGCGAGTTCAACCCTGTACCATGCGCCCAAGCAGCATACGCTCTGGGTCGCTAAACTAAATAAAAAGTGGGACGGTGTTAGTTCATTTTTTAAAGTGCCGCGCTCATGGTACGGGGTGTCTGTGAATTATTAAAACGCTACAAAGGCTGATGAATGGGCGATTCAATTCACTGGACGTTTTGCACTGGACCAATCCGCGATGTATCGGCATTAGCATAAGAATCCACGGCGCCCTCATTCCCACGGCCCATCCTATTGTTTCGCGAACATAAGAGTGCTGCTAAGAATTATTAGTTCTTATTGCATTATATAATGTAATAATAAGCGTTCTTAGTGGACTAACTTTTGTCAACGGCTACATTCACACGATTTCGTGTATCTACCTTTATTTTGCGAGCATACCATCGTAATTTATTCAATTTGGTGGTTTTGATTTTAATTGGTGGCGTTTTAATTAATATCAATTGTAAGACTGCTTAAAACATTATTAAAGTTGAAGATTTGTTTTTGTTATATTACTGATAGTAATAATAAGTACTTTGATTACACGAAGTTTTATTTTATTTTTACTATTCGACTTGTATAAAATTAGATTTAGATATAAAATAGTAGTTTATTAATGCAGGTGCTTTAATTCAGATACGTATTAAATGATGTTCCTAAAGATTTCGTTAATTTCTTATACCTTACTTTTGTACGTGAAAGAAGCGCTCACTTGCGGTTTTTAACACGTTTTCCCGGAATTTTATGAGCATTTAACTTTTGCCTGTTTTATAGTCGTTTGATTGTTGTCGTTTTAGAAATAAAATAACCGTAAATTTTTTACTTATCTATTTTTTTACTTGGTTCCATAATAGGGTCTTATCAATATTTTTAAAAGCAGTGTACTTAATTTTGGAGCTTTTTGCCTTAATGATCGATAGTTAATGTACATATTTAAAATGAATGACGGGTCCGAGTTGCATTATCCCTTAACATTGTGCAGTTGTGTTCTTAAACGTAATTTATATGTAGCCCATAAAACTCTACGCTTGCACCTACACTGTCTACGTAATACGGCAATTCGTAGCCGGCGTAGCACTTTTGTAGCCTTTTTAATATTTGCCCCAAGAGTTTCATTCTTCAAACATAATACTGAGTATATTTTTTGTGTACAAAAATATACTTTGTATTGTTTTTGTAATGTTTATACATTTAATAATGGTTTATTTAAAAGTGAAAAGAATACATTACTTGGAGCCAAATTGGGTAAGCCTATTTTAGCAGTATTATTTTACTGTATATTATATTTTACTAACGGTTCGATTTAGTTTATCTAATTTTTTTGGATCTTAGTAGTGCTTAAAAGATTAAAGTTAATATCTGTATACTAAAAATGAAAGTGAAAGGGCGATGAACTTTTCGTTGCTTTTTTATACAAATTTTAATGAAAGGGGGACCCCCTTTCATTAAAATTAGTACTGTTTTTTGTGTGTTTTTATTTTTTGTGTTCTTTAATGTGACATAAGTTTTATAATAAATAAATGTTTAAAATATGGTTAAAGTATTAAATATTTTAACCACAAAATGAAGTTATAAAATTTTACATATTTTATATGGTAAAGTTGTTCAAATAAATTAGCAGCACCCACTACATACCTTTAAAGTGTGTAAAATTTCAATTTTATGTTTACGCCACTAAATGGTATTTGGAATATTATTACTATAAAATTGATGTTTAATATTAAAACCGAAAATCAATTAGTAAGGACAATATAAATTTATTAAAAAAATAAACAGTCGGTGCGTCAAATACTGTCCTGGATATGTTCGCACCATGGGGAAGGAAGAAAAACAATGGAGAGAATAACACAATGATGGTAGGACCCGCAACACTTCTCTCCTCGACGGGTAAGTACCACGACTTTACAGCAGACCTGCGTGAAGAAGTGTTATACTTCTGCGTTTCGTGTAGTGAGTGTGGTAGCCGGGGCCCATTTTATTAAAAGGTCAACACGTCGGCAACCCTACGGGTGTTGCAATTGTCAATGGCCGGTAGGTATCACTTAACACCAGGTGAGCCACCAGCTCATTTACTACATTCTCACATAAAAAAGACCGGTATCTTTTCGTAAGTGATTTCTCAGTAACAAGTTTTTGACTGCATCACCACATGTCTGTTAAAAGTGGTAAGTAGAAATAAACTAAAGTAAATTTAGCGCTTGAATATCACTGGTGAATGTCTGGTCATAAGCGGTCTGGTAAGAAACTATGTGGTCAAAAATATATTCAAAATGGTTCCTTTTAAAGAAATATCGTAGAACAAAATTATAATAAATTATAGGCTCGTAAAGAGTCGAGTCTTTTTCACACTTCTTGTTCAACAGAGTATAAGCCTTTTTTGTTATGTGGTTTTAGTATAGTTTTGATTACTTTCAATTCATCTTGGCTTTCACTCATTTAATATGTATATTTTATACGTTATTATGTACTTTTTTCATTAGATTTTTTGGGGTTCGGTCTCTTTACAGTCTTCATTAAGATCCATTCTACTTCTCGATCTTTTCTATGGTGCTATAACTATAATATGTGACAGATTGTATTTATGTTTCAGTTTTAAGGTTTATATTCTAGTTAGCTTTGATTCAAAAAACTTTTTCCCTAAAACGGATAAAATGACCCGCTTCCATACCATATATACTCTACAAAGTTAAACAAGAAATTTGTTTAATAAATTAGTTAACTTGATAAAGTCAGTAGATCCAGGATAGCACTTATTTGGCTCTCGTATATTTGAATACGTAATTTCAGATGAGAGATTTAAAACTTTATTTATTTGTATAAGTGTTAAAATTATTTTAAAGTATGGTGGATGATTGTCAATTCACATCTTCAGTATTGATTAGTCCTTATATTCACTTATGTTGGAGCGTATGTTTTAAACGTTTAGAATTAAATGTTTACTTACGTTGTTGCAAATTTTTGGTTTGCTGACGTTGCTCTTTTTGGTCACGCGCGCGGGTGGAGTGGTGGTGGCTGGTGGCGTGCAAGGCGGGCTGCTGTCACTTCCACCCCCACTTCCGCTCCCGCTACCGCTTGTACTTGTCCCACTCGATTTCTCCGAGCCATTGCTTAACTGTGCGGACAAAATGGCGCGAGCCGCTTGAGTGTTTTATGTTTCGGAGTTTCGCTTTTAATTACCCAAGTTTATCCACTAGATAAATGCTAATGAAAACCTTTAAATGACACTTTTTTTCGTCTTTGTCCTAATTACATTCGTGACGGGCGTACTGTAGTCTAAGGGATTTTGCGTAATTTATCTCGTAGCCAATTAGTAAGAAAAGGAAACCTTTATATATTACGGTTAATTTATATTACATCAAATAACACGACTAAATAAACTAAAAGATATTTAAATTTCAATGTGTATTTAATAAACGTAATGAACATTACCGTCGACCGTACAACGTGTAAAAATGTGTAACATCGGAAAAAACCACAGAGCCCTCATTAAAAATCCGCGATCACATTACCGTGCAATGTTCGAACAATGTTTGCAAAATGAATCTGGGGGTAAAACACGACCATCATTATTGCCAACTTTTCCCGCCCGAGCCTTTAATGGCGTCACCGAATGAAAGGCGGATCCGGGCTAATTGCTTAATTAATAAGGTCGCCCGGGTTGTGAATTTTACACACGGTCAGTTGGAATTGAGCCAGGAGCACTTGTAATAAAAACGTGCAGCTTTAAGCTGCGGCCTTTGGGTCTTGATGTCGCCGGGGAGGTTTATTTCAAACATTTCGTTAGAAGTATTTACATGTTGAGTTCGCCCGGCGGACTTAACGTATTTTCGGAATATTTCATGAACTTACCAATACAGATTTTATACACAACATTTATATCTATTTTTTTCTTAATTAGGTAATGATTTATTGCAGATAGATAAAGTAAATAATTACATTTTCTTCAAGTGATTTTAAAATCAAGAACTTTTCTTACAGATTATATTTATAGTGAAGTAAAAGAATTTAGAGCAGGTACCTATGTTTTTTTAAATTAGCATGTATGAAATTCCGTGGATATTACTTGAGAGCAAATCTGTAAATTTATTTCTTGAATAATGTTTCATATAATCACAGAAGTGAAAGGACATAACATTGTATATAAATCTGTGCTCCATTTCAACAATGAATGTATGTAAATAAAGGTTAAAACTCCAAACGTTACACTTGGCGCAGACGAAGTTGCACGGGCCCTAGTTTAATATAAAGTAGTAGATTTAGTGACATGTAATTTTTATTTTAATGAAAACTCACCTCTGAATGCAAAGGGTTGTTGCGCAACGGTGAAGTAGGTGATGCCGCTCGAATCGAATTAGGTTCCCGTTCGGTGTTGCCAGAATTCGCATTGTTGCTGCCACTCCCGCCTAAGTAGGATAAAAATAATTTATCCATACCTAATTCCGATAGACCTTATAAAAGTGTCATTTGGAAAGCTAACCCTACAAGTATAATTTTTAATAAAAAAAAAACCGACTTCAATGCGAAATTTAAAAATATTGTTAATGCCTATAACATTCAATGATGGCCGTCGATTTCTCTGGGATGCCATCATCAAATCCGGGTTTCCTTATCATGGTACCACCCTTGGGATATCTCCTTTCCGACACAAAAAGAATCATCAAAATCGGTTAATAAGCGACGAAGTTATCCACGAGCGCACATAAAAAAAAAATATATACGGTCCAATTGAGAAACCTCCTCCTAGTTTGAAGTCGTTTAAAAAATAGTATTGTTTGTAAATTTACATCTTTATGAACAATACATTTTTATAATGTCTTTACGGGAACATAAAAATGTCGATACAAGGTATAAGCTTTATTCGGTTGTTCTCTCGGTGCACGATTAGTAGGTATTCCTATTGAAGGAAACTAGAAATTAACTCGTATCTAATGGCGAATTCTTGACAAAATTCTAATGTGACATTATTAGAATTTTGTCAAGAATTTGCTATAAGGAAGATTAAAATATTTTTAATCTTTTTTTTTACATTGGAATTTAAACTATTTTTAATCCTTTTTCAATAGTCTCTATTTAGTTGACTAGACCTTTTTTTTTTTTTTTGGTATCGGGGGGGGGGGGGAATCTTCATAAGATACCCTGTCATGATATGACAGAGTTATGTGGGGTTCGACCCACTAACGATCTCCTCGGTGGCCACCTTCTGTACCTTTGGAGGGACTCAGGGATCTCCTACGGAACGCACCGGTGTCCCTCAGTACTGCGCGTGAGCACGCCTCGGAGAAGGCTAAACCTCCCCCGATTTCCTAGCCGTCTTGCAGCAGCACGAGACCACTTCGTGCTGCTGCCCATCCGTGTCTTCTTTTAGTCGCCTTTTACGTCAGGCAGGGGATACCTTAGCTCTATTCTACGAGCCCGAGACCACAGGGCTGTAGTTAAGTAGACCTAGAAGATTTTATGTGTGGTAGGCATATTCCACAGTCGTTGTGGCACGAATGATCGTGCTCGTTCAGGGAAGTAACAAAACCTCACAGAAGACCAGCGTGAATTGGAATAAGTGGTCCAACTTCTGCATTTCGCCTGAGTGAGGAAATCGGCTCACTTTACTCAAAGGCGGCAATACATCTGCAACCCAGCAGGCGTTGCAGAAATACATGGCCACCACAATATAAGGTAAAAAGCGGCGCGTTGATCACTTTTTGATGCAAAAGTAACTATGTGTATTTTTTAAAAAGAGAACGATGACGAACGAACGCTAACGCTTTTCGGACGAACACAGGCGAGCGCATGTTTAGTCATGAGACGAGTTTTTTCACTGACACCGTTATCGTGCGAACACATTAAGAGCTTTGGGGGCGTGGAAAGCGTTGAGCGTTCGCTACGCCATAATTGCGACAGCTAGTTAACGATGTCAAATGCCGCGACGCGTCACCTCTCCTGCTGCGACTGTACGGATGCAGTCTAATTTGTACGTGCACTGCGGAAATTGGTACGAGCGCTCCCTTTGAAGATAGCACTTTCATTATACGTGCCAGAAGTTTCAGTGATACACTCGATCTTAATAGGAGTCTATGGAAAATGTCGTCAAGAGCTGACTCGTTTCAAAAATAAAGGGCGCTACCTAAAAATAAATCTAATTAAATTAAATTTGTAATGAAGAGTGATATGTACTGATTATAAATACGGGAACAACGATTTTGAACATACCACCAATCTAATGTTACTTGAAGCTGTTTTAAATTTGTAGGAAAAGTACGAAAAGAAACTGAAACTGAAACTGTTTTGTCATTGTAGTACGACTAATAAACAGTCTTCGCTGTTGCACGAATGGACTGGTCCGTCCTTGAAAGTATCACGAACTCACAGAAGACAACTGTGAAATGGAAGTGTTATACTTTTCGTCCGTTAGGAGGGGTAACCACGGCCCATTTTATTAAAAGTTGTCACAGCATCTGCAACCATACGGGTAATGTTCATGGGCAGCGGTGCTTAACATCAGGTGAACCGTCGCAGCATAGTTTGTAACTAGATAACGCTGTATAAACATGTCCTAAAATATTTATTATTTATTATAGAAGTGATAGTTGAGACCAAGCGAATAACGTCAAAGCGACTCACTGGAGTCCGGCGGAGGCTGGTGGTGATTTTCGGTGTGCCGGCGAAGGGAACGAGCGTCACAGTAAGACTTGCCACAACCATCTGCCTTACACTCGTATGGCTTCTTGTTACGGTGCGTCAGCATGTGCCCATTGCTAGGACGAACAGAACATTTGAGAAGTTGCACAAGTTAATGGTGATAAATGGGAAAAGCTTGTGTGTTTGTTTCAGCTTCGGATTTTTTTAAATGAGTTAATCAATCATGTTATCTTTTATCGATGGCCTTGCAGTACAAAACAATCGACATATTTATGAGTTTCAGAATTGACTACTTTTGAAAATATGGCTTCAATATGAATAACAATATCAAGGTTTTAATTTACGTCTTTAATAAAAGAAATAGAATCTAAACGACGAAAGGTTTCGAAACGATCATATCGTTGTACTCTCACATCTACGTACGCAGGGACCAAATTTAAGTTAGATGTTGATAGAAACGAATGTAAATAAAGACAAACTTTTTATCATCATCATTATTATTTTGATATAAATATTATCTGCACAGTAACTTACACCTTGTTTTAACAAAGTAGTTAAGGATTAAAGGAAAATATTCTCAATGTTTATACATTATTATTTTTTTAATTAAGTATTTCGGAAAGAAAAAAATATTTCGGAGTAAAATAAATGAATACTTTAAAATTAGAGGTTCTTATTATTGTAATGTTAAGATTTAAGTTATTTGTATTTGTATACGTTTTTGTATTTTGTTTGATGGTGCATGTAAACTAATATTTCTAATAATACCATACTATGAAGCACATAATTTAATTTTCTTTGATATATTAAAACAGCCTTAGCAATATTACAATTTTTTTTTTTTTATTTTATTTAGTAATAAGTGGGCCTAACAATATATTTTTTTTAATTTTGAGCATGCTGTGTTTGCCTCTTAATTGTGATGTACATACAAAGCTGTAACATTAAGTGCTCATGTTTCATATAATATTGTTTTGAATGTAACAACTACTGGCAGACCTAATGAATAAATAAATAAATAGTGGACTAAACAATAATGATCGATAGCACTGTGATCGTCGAGTGCGAAATTTAGTGCGAGCAGGTTATTGGATCAATAGAGCTACACAGAATCCAGTTATCGCGACAATATTATGACACAATGATTGCATTAATATTCATGGGGGTCGAAAGCCGTTACGATTAAAGGGCAACCCCAAATTTAGAATCTGTGCTGTGAACATTTGGAAAGAGCAAGTAAATATTTAATTCGATTTCAAGGATGTAACCGCAAGAAATTTAGTTACAATTGTAATGACCTACTTTAATTTAGGTCAGTTGGTGTTGCTTTTAGAATTTCTTGTAATTTATAACATATGAAAGAAAAATGTATATTTTAGATCCTTATTTATTATTTTTTTCAATTCATAGGGGAAAATGTATTGTGACATTCGCACTATACGCATTCTGAGTAAATGTTTAGGTTAATATCTCAACAAAAGTTGTCCTTCTACAAAAACAGGAATGCAGCAAAGCTCGCGGTAGTCAGCAGCTGTGTAGGGGAAGTCCCTGAAGTGTTTTTCGTCTGCAATTGTTTTTGCGCCAGTTAAGTTTGGGAGCGGCCAGCAATCGTTTTTATAGGAAGTGATAAATGTTGGTAGGCCCGTGCGGGGAATGAATATTTTACTATGCACCTGGTAACAGTAGCCATTTTCTATGAAAGGCCAACGTGAGCTGCTTTGGCATGGTATCTGGTGTCTCGTCTTTGATTTAATTATACTCGAGGCGCCGGGATTTAAATCCCTCTAAGTGCCAATTGGTATAAATTTTAGATGTTTTTTTTTCCGGAACTGAGAGTTTATTTATTTTAAAGATACTTCAAATTCGCCAGGCCGCGTTTCTCGCGGAACGGAATTGAAGCAATATAACGGAAAATTTGAGCATATATGATTAACAAATTCTACTCTGAAATGATCAAATTTGCCGCTGTTATATTGCTTCAATAATATAACATACGTGTTATCGTGTTTATTTAGAAGGTTAATACTTCTTACTACTTCTTAGTCAAATTTGTATGATATTCCAAATTACTATTTTCTGGTGAAGTTGAAATTTGAGCATACAATTTGCAAGAGGCGTTGTGTTATGTTCTTTCATCACGTAATAATTTAATGCACGATGCCCTTTACAAATGACAATATTAAGTAATAAAACATGAATTCAAATACTCAGTAAAATAAACCTTGAGGATGTTACGAGTAGAGACAATTATACTTTACACTTCAACGGGTCGCAAGCATGATTAGTCAAGCTTCTACTTACAGATGGTCTTGCCTCTTGAAGGCTTTCGCGCAAGTTAGGCACACGTACTTGCGCTCATCGCTGTGTGTCAGCTTGTGTTTCGCCAGAGCGGACGCGTTGCCGAAAACTTTGTTGCACACCTGCCGGATGGAAAACAACGGTGGGGTGATGCAATTCCAAGACATATGGACAGCAATTAGTCCGAGGTTTGAACGTTTCGTATAATGTGGAAGCCCAGTATGACTTTTTTATGTGAGAGACGAACGAGTGTTTAATTTTTGCCACATTGTTCCTATTTTTATCTTAAGATAGAATATAAGAAAAATGTTATATTTAAGTGATAACTATTTCAATAAAGTTACTTCACGCGAAAGTTTCTGTCAAAGGGAGTGTCCAAATAGTATTATTAATACAATTATTTGTATTTAGCATTTAGTATGAATTTCGCAGCAAAGTAATTTCGAAATGAGTCGCAGCAGAGCTTTTGCGATGCACACGGCATTAGTCGTGTCGTGTTTTAGAAGATTTTCCTCCTTCTCAGTACAGAACTCTCATTAGAATCGCGGAAAAACTTAATTATTTAGAGTCTCAGTTCACAAAGGAGCCAAAATGTCGCTCGGGCGGCGAGTTGGTGACCGTTGAAATGAAAGCACCTTAATATTAAGTTGCGAGATGTAATAACATGAAAACGGCGCGGCACAATTCCCCGAGCGTTTGTTGACCCTAATGGCATGTTTGTTTCCCGTCTAATTAAGAAGGTCCTTTCGCTCCCTCAATACCTAAGTATGTTTTTATATTGAACCACCTTTGATCATCTCTTTAATTAAGATGTAATCAACTTATTTATATAAACTGTGGTAGCTGTTGTAGCTTCTTTTATAGGAGGTCTAGAGCGTCGCTTTATATGTGATGTGAAACTAGGGGCACCCTAAAAATGAATATCAAAATAACCTGCGTTATTAATAATAGCACGTTTAATGTTACGCACATCGACAGTGACACCCATAAATCTACACCCCCGCCACAGTTCGGACTAATAGGGCGGCAAAATATTTACTCAGGAGAATCGAGCCGAGCGAATATGTGTTGACGGCGAGCGTGCGGGCCGCAGTTTGGATCTCGTCCGACATAACGCCATTGTTTGCGCGACGTTATTACGGCCGACGTCTGAATATTTCACGACGGGCCCCCAACTTCAGCGCCGAAGTTCTCTTGTCCATAACAATAAAAACGCGCGAACGGCAAATCGGGTCGACGGATTCTTACCTCATCATATGTATTCGTATAATCGTATGTACACAAGCATATAGACTTGATCGAAATTTAGGGAAATTTGGAATTTACGACTCGTATATAAAGAGAGTCAAATAGGAATATAAAACCAATGTCAGGTTTTAACGAGGATATTAATAAAGGGATGTTATTCTATTTTTTTTAAATGCAAGTTTTTACGTTCTCTTAACAGAAGCGATGTCACGTAGACTCTCGCGAGGATCTTACAAGCTCCGACTCCAAGGCAATGAAATCACAAAGCGAAACGATCAGAGGAATTATCGTTTGATGCACGAAATACGGTGATTGTACATACATACAATTTCCATGACCTATTATTTGTTATAACGTTTAGCTGGAATTACAATTCAGTATTAGAAATTAGTTAGGTCGTATCATTGTATAGAAATGGTTTTATTTATTGGCCAAGTAGATACTAACTAAAAGATTTGTTGAAGTGTTCACTTTATTACATTTTTAAATGAGCGATTCAAATGCCAAATTACATCGTCTTTATCGCTTATGAACACTACATATCGTAGTATAAAACTTAGTCATATCCAAAACCAAATAGTCCATGAAGTCTAATCATTCGTGCAGTTATGAAACAATTTTAATTGTGCATTGTCATAAAACAAAAAAAAAAAAACGAGGAAATAAAATGAGAAAAAAAGAAAAATTGGGCTATTCCGTTTATTTATTTGTTTGTTTTTTGAGTTCTTATTTGTAACACGAGATTTGCAATCTGTGGATGTGTCATCAAAATTATTTTTGTCTCGAGGAAAAATGAAGAAAACAATAAATGAATAAAGCGATCAAACTTTTATAAACAAACTTTTTACGAAATACGATATCCATTGTTCGCATCGATTACAGTGGTGGCCTCAAAATATGTTATGACTTCCTTGTTGAGGAGACCATTAAGATATCCCGAGGCGAACCGATGTTTACGTCTTTTATAGAGGGTAAAGCTAAAATGATGCGGACATGAAGCTAGACATACTTGTAGTTTTATTAGAAATAAGTTCGCGTTCAAAAGAATTTCGTTGGAACAAGTATTTATGCCATATTAATATGATATTAATTTTAATGCAGACAAACAAAGTATTTAGAAGATATTATGTGAAGTCTGCCATTTTACAGTTGAATCACGTCTTGAACTCCCTTAGTAAAGAGGAGTCCTTTGCCATGGGATATATATGCATATGCTGTTACTTTATTATTGTATGTTAATTTTACTGCAGAAGAACAAAAGCAGGTTAGAAAACGAATCCTGCTTTGCTGAATTCTTGCGAGTAGGCGACTTTAATTTACGCTAGACGGTATGGTAGATTTTTAAATGTATATAATATGAAAAAACAAAAAGCCTTCTAATACGTTTATCTGTAATACTATTTAAATATTATAAGTATAAATCGACTTGAATTTGCACTTAAGAATGTTATTAAAGCTTTATATGAAAGAAATCCAAATTTAATTTCAGATGACGAACTTTTATGCTTTTTATTCTAAGAGTATGTCATCAAGGCCTTTCCTAATATTAGTTTCTGTTCTTCGTAACTTTGTTATTCTTTAACACGCGGTCGAATCTCAACAACTTTAAGGCTGTAACGTTTAAAATTCCCTTTGAATTTGTTTCGTCTATTAGCAGCGCTCGTATTGGCTGTTCAAACTTTAATGTGGTGCCGTAACTAGTAAATAGAAGTAAGTACCTCAATCGTAATATCTTTATTTATAAACAAACATTTGCTCCTGTATCGATCGTCGCCATCTTACTGCGTCTCACGTTTCTATATTCTCCCCGACCATAGCTAATTGGATGGCGTTCAGTTCGCTAGTATTGACTCGTTATATCGTCGAATTAAGACGCCCGATATCTCGTAGTTTGTTATGAACAGAAGCGATTCGTTTCTTCTGCGATGATACATCCGACTTTATAATATTTAGTTTGCAGTAAGCAGAAATAGTAAAATAAAAATCTGTGATATAGTAATCACTTTCCAATCCTCAAATGGGAAGTGTGAGTGTTTACGCATATGAAGGATAGAGATATATTCATGTATATTAAATATACGTATGCATGTCTGTGTGAGTTTTGAATTTTAGAGCATTAAGAGTACAATAGAAAACTTCATATTAAAAGTTGTAGAAATAGTTAAATTCAAGGCTTATTAATGCCTTAATTGTATGACGCATCAAAGCCTAAAGCAATGGATTTAATTACATTGTGTGATTATTTAAGATACATACATTCAGATGGTATTTCGTATACAAGCGTATGTGTTTATATGAGTACAAGAAATTATCTTTTGATAATTTATTCATTTCGATCACAATATAATCATTTTAATGCCATAATTTTAATCTTCAATTTTACTTCAAAGTAAAAGACCATTGCTTCAATTTATTCGGTAACTATAATACCTCATATGTTTGTATTTCTTATAAGGCTTTGGCTCCAACATTCTTTAGGATCTACACACAAATAATTACAAAGCAATGAAAAACAATACCACATTTATACGTATTCAATAAACTCATTGAGATAAACAAGATGTAAATAATGTGAATTTCCATGGCCAGCTATAAAGGATGGGAACAATAGCATTGATGAGGTTTGTTAAATTTAAATCAAATTGTTTCGTGCAATATTTGATCGTATGTGAAGAAACAATGTCAGAGTTTCAGTTTTAAGTTAATATATTTACATAATTTATCTATGGTCTCAGAGTTTCTATACACTGATTCAACTTAATATGAAAAAAACTTCCGAAAATGGTCGTTTAAAAATGTAGAGAATGTAAGATGTAAAAGAGGGCACTGTTTTATATATTGATGATTTGGTAAAAAAGTGACAATAATTGGAATTACTAAAAATAGAGTTCATTTTCTACAACTGTCGTTTTTGTGTAAATCAACATTTACCTAAACGTTTGAAAGCCACCCCGTAATTTGTCAGCGATGGGACGTCCTTCGTCGTTTCATTAATTGATATTTATAATGATAATTATCTGTCAAATCTAAAGAGGAGTCCCGACTAATTGAAAGCAGTAAAATACTTGTTATATTACATCTTGATAAGCGTATATAAATTCCGATTGGATAAAGGTAACTTAGCACAATTACCTATTCAACAAGCTTAGTTCAAATGCGTAGAATATCAAAAATGGAATAGATCTGTAGACACTTCTTCGATGGTGCAAGATTTTTTCCTTGCTTTTATTTCTTTATAGTATCAATATAAATATATTGCAACGAAGTTCCTTATCGCACAGTACGGATTGGCGGATGTGGGCTATGCGAAAAAAGTAATTTTTCCTTCACGACCTGATCGTCTTAAAAATACCATGGCAACCGATAACAACTTATCTGTAAAATAAACTGTAAATAATCTGTAAATAAAACTTGTTTGTTATTGAACTCCTCCGAAACGGCTCAACCGATTTTCGTGACGTGTGTTGTGTGCATATCGACCAGGGTGGAGAATCGGACAACATCTATTTTTCATCCCCTTAAATGTTAAGGGCGGTCCACTCCAAACATTTTTTTCTACCCGACAAATAATTTATATGGTAAAACAACGTTTGCCGGGTCAGCTAGTATATTAATATTTAAAAAAAAATTTTACGATATAATAATAAGTTATTTAGTTAAACCGGCATCAATTGCATTTAATGTACCTTTCACAAACAGGGGATCAATAATAATATACTACGAAAAGAACTTCATTCCAACCAAGTGTTCCACGACACTCACGCATTTCTGTTTTTATTATAAATTGATTATAAACTAACCTATGTCATACATTCCATGTAGTAAATGTACATCTAATTTAATGGACGCTTTAAATGAGCAATGTCTTCCTTGT